TTTTAAGTCATCCTTAGGTATATTGGTCACACAGATGCAAAGGTAATATAGAAGACAGTATTCGACCATCAACCCTGGTCCTCCTGATGGATGAATTGCTCTGGGAACCTATTTTGTCACCCAGCAGTCAGCCTCTGATAGCAAATGAATATTACAAAACTTAGCTACAGGACCCTAGACTCCCATCAATAACTATTAGACACTGGTTTGGGGTTATTTAATTATTGGGACAAGGCAAAGGAAATGGAAAGGGTCCAAAGCCTAGATAGACTTTAAGATGTAAACCCCAGTCTTGGTTTGGTAATTAGAATATATTGCATAAGTCAAAATGTTAATTAAATGCCTCAATTTCTATTCCAAAACCAATTCTCTGCTGGTTTCCAGGCCAACCAGGACTAAACAGTAAGACCCTCTCTCTAAAGGGGAAATAAAAAGCAAAAGTTATTTCTGTCTGTGAAGACCCCTAGCTGGCTTCTGCTCTCTCTCGATCTGCATATCTCTCCGTATGAATATCAGTTTAGGTATCAGACTCCATGGGTGGGTAGATGTTAGTGGAATCAGCGGCCTTCAAGTTCTTCAAATCCAGCAGGTAGCTAGCCTTGGCTCTTTCTTGGTTAACATCGTCTTTTTTTTTTTTTTTTTAACAGCAATTGATTGAAAAGGATATGTAGATACACAGCTTAAAGTCACCTCATTGGTAAAAGAGAGCCCATAAAGTCACTGAATCTCTCATTGTTTCGTCAAACAGTTTCCATGCATTGATTGAGAGGGGCCAGCCCCTCAGCTGCCTCTGCACTGTAGAACACTGTAGAACACGTAATACACAGTAGATATTTCATAGAATTGGAACTGTTCTTGACAGCTCAATGGGTGTCTTTTGTTTTTTTAATAACTAATCAACCGTGGCAAGAAGTGGGTGGCTCTCTGTGGATTGTCTGATGATTCTTAACACTAGTAGCTGTGACGTGGGAGGATTCATCTGTCACAAATCGCCACATGTCACCCAGATTTTTACCTCCCGTTTCTTACTGCTGGGTCCCTCTGTCAGTCTATTTACCTCTGTTGTATAGGCCCCCAGACATCTGAAGCTATTACTCTTTCCTATGTGGTATGGTGTTGCTCCTTTGTCTTAACACACATCATAGTCAAGAGTGAGTGTCAAATTGGAAGGCCAAACAGCTCAGGACTCTTCGCTGCATATAACAGAGAGTACCACCTAGATTGGCATAAGCATACAGGGTACTTTATTGGCAAATTCAGTAGGAGAGTCGGGTATATAGGCATGTTGTTAGACAGGCTTAGCTAGGTCTCATACCCTGGGACTTGGTCTTGGTTATTTTTATATCTCAGTATTAGAGGCAATCTCTGAGTTACAATGGTTTCATGTGTGTGATTGTTTCGTTGCTGCAGTACTTTTAAGATTTTTACTCATTTATTTTAATGTGCATATGTGTGCACATGCATGCCTGTGCATCTTTGTGGGTATGTGCTCATGCGTGCAGGTAATCCTAGAGGCCAGAGGTGTTGAATCTCCATGAAGAAGGTTGTGAGCTGTCTAAAGTGAGTCCTGGGAACCAAACTGGAGTCATCTACAAGAGCCATATGTGCTCTTTAAAACCAAGCCATATCTCCAGTTCCCTGTCAGGGTACTTTTATTTGAGGCAGGGTTTCATTTGGTTTAGCCTGAATTAGAATTTGCTTTATAGCTGAGTACGATTTTGAACTCCTAATCCTCCTGCCTCTACCGTCTAGGTACGGGGCTTGCATGCATGCATCACCATGGCTAGCTCTTTAAAATTTCACTTTACAAGGGTGTGGTAGCAATTATGAACAGAAACCACGGCTCTAGTTTTTAACTTTGTTTGGGACATGATCTCTCTATGTATCCCTGTCTGTCCTGGAACTCACTATGTAGACCAGACTGGCCTCAAACTTATAGAGATGCTCCTGCCTCTACGTCTACCCCTAGAGTGCTGGGATTAAAGTTGTGCACCACCATGCTTGGCTAGTTTTCAACTGTTATTTATTTTTTTCTTGAGCTAGTAGTATGTCCCATGATGCTTTCATGTAGCTGGGCAGCCACTCAGCCCCACCCTCTCTAGCTTGAACAACCAACACTGCCGTGCACTGTGTTGCTAAGCTAGGGTGATTGGCAGGTCAAGTGTATTAAAGAGACTTTGAACTACAACATTTTCAATTCAGAGTTTATCAGTACACAACCCCATTGTAAGAAGAGGAACATCTGTTCAGGCTTCCTTTCTCAAGTTCAATAGGAAGTTTTCCCTCCCAACAGTTCAACCCATCAAAAGCCCTAATGTTTATTACCTCCATTATGATTATCCTCATGGGTCATGATCCTTGAATTGTTCATTAAGAACGAAGATAAATATTATCTCAATTCTTCTGTCCATGGCAAACAGCCAGCAGGCCACATAGCTAGTCTAGTTCAAGGCGGTATTGGAATAAGAGAAAGAAGGACATGAACAGGAAAGCATCTAACACACGACCAGGACCATCGGTCTCCATCCTATCTGGTTAATCTGATCATACTTGGAAAATGGCACACAAGTTCGTACCACCCCTTACTGCAGATGGAATCAGAACAAATACAGAGAAAATAGCTGGGTAGATAGGGGTACACCAGATAAGGTTAGGTTTGAAAGCAACAATAAAAATATTTTTTTTCTGCTGCCATTAGAAATTTAAGATAGTCACAAATGTTTAGGTTGATTAAAAGCCAGTCTAGGAGAAGAGGAGTAAGAATTCGGCTTGGTGGTGGACTACCTGCTTAGCATGTACAAGGCTATGGTTTTGATCTCTAGCATAGTAAGTAAGTCAATAGCTTTGTTAAGAAGGAAAAAGTAAATCTGGCTTGTCTTTTGGAAGAACCAAAGTAGTGCGTTCAACTTGATGGGACCCTCACTGGAAAAAGTGCTGACATTTTGGCGATAATTGGGGCAATCTGTTGGCTGGATAGTAGAATTAGAAGTACCTCTCCTCTTCATTTACTTATTTATTTAATTTTGAGTCAGGATTTGTTTGTGTAGCTTTGGAGCCTCTCCTGAAACTTACTCTGTAGCCCAGGCTGGCCTTGAACTCACAGAGATTTGCCTGCCTCTGCCTTCCAAGTGCTGGGATTAAAGGTGTGTGCCACCACCACCCAGTGTACCTTTCCTTTTCTTAGCTGAGCCAATGGCAATCAGTAATTTTGAAGAAAGTAGTAGTGGCAGGCTTAGAGTACTTAAGGGTGGTGGTGTTGGTATCTGCAGCCTACCCTCAAATAGATCAGTGGCACACACAGAGAGGTAAGGTACATACATATGACATTGACAATTGCTGAGTCTAGACAATGTGTATATGGGTGGTCATCAGAATATTCTCTCAATTCTTCCACAAATGAAATGAAATTTTCAGGAAACTCTGTCAAATCCAAAATAAACAACAAAATCAACACACACACATACACACCCAACAGCAACCACCAAACTTGGCTTATTTTTCTGCTGTTTTCTTCTGGAGTCTCAGATTAGTTCCATAAAAGAGACTTAAGCTTGCTTTGGTATTAAAATAATGCAAGATGTATTGCTTTCCCAACTAAATATGAAAAGCACTTATGTACGACCAACTATGTGTCTACATCTCTGTTAATAGGGTGTTATAATTTCATTTGGTGTGTGTGTCTATACATGTGTGGATTTAGTTGTGTGTTCAGGTATACAAGAGCACACGTGTCTGGGCCAGAGAAAAATCCCAGGTGCTATTCCTCATGTGCAATCCCTATTTATTTATTTGGCATGGAATCTTCCAAGTAGGCTAGATTCACTGACCAGTGGGCCTGGGGTTTGACTGTCTCTGTCTCTGCAGTGCTGGGACTATATGCATATCCATGCCCAGCTGCTCTGTTGTTGTTTATTCGTGATTTTAAAATTAAAACATAATCACATTGTTTATTGAATGAGAGCATTTATGTAGATTCAATTGTGTGTGAATCCAGCTGTTATATGTATAAGAAAAAAGAAAATAATCTCCCTGTCTTAGTCAGTGTTCTCTTGCTGTGAAGAGGCACCATGACCAACGCAACTCTTACGAAACATTTAACTGCGGGCTGGCTTAAAGTTTTAGAGGGTTAGTCCATTTTCATCATGGCAGGGAGCATGGTGGCACACAGGCAGATCCTGGAGCAGTAGCTGAGGGTTTTATATTTTGATTCTTGGGCAGAGAGAAGACACTGGGCCTCACATGGGCTTTTGAAATCCCAAAGCCTGACCCCACTGACATACTTCCTTCAACAGGACCACACCTCCTGATCCTTTCAAATAGTGCCACTCCCTGGTGACCAAGCATTCAAGTCTATGAGCCTACTGGGGGAGGATGCTCTCACTCACACCACCACACTCCCGTTAGTGGGCTATGTTGCCTAACGATGTATCATTTTCTTTATAGAATTAACTTTCAGAATGAAACCATGAGGATAGTTAGGTGGAATGAGATTCCTGGAGACTCTTTTCATTTAGACAGTTGATTATTGAGTGAGTGTGTGTGTGTGTGTGTGTGTGTGTGTGTGTGTGTGTGTGTGTGTAATATGTGTATTGCATACATGTGAGTATGCTTGTCTGAGCACATGGGAGTGAGCATGCAGACATCAAAGAAGGTCATCAGGAGTTCCTCCTCTATCTCTCAGCCTTCTTGTTGAGACAGGGTCTTTCATTTAATCAGAAGCTAGCCATTTGTCCAGGTTGGGTAAGCAGCAAGCTCTCGGGATTCACCTCTCTCGACCCCTCAATGCTAGGATATGGGTATCCATGTTCAGCTAGGCCTGACTTTTTATGTGGGTGCTCGAGAATTCAAATTCAGATCCTTATGCTTGCAGAACAAGCCTCTTACTCACAGAACTGTCTCCCCAGCCCCCTCAAATTCTCAATGTTGACTGCCCAATATTTTTAACTGGGTAGAAAAAAAATGTCTAGATACTCAGAAAAAATAGCTTAAGAATAAATGAACACGTGAAAATCTCCTCCCTCCCCCTTAAATTCTCAGTGTCGGCTACTCAAGCTCTTTGGAGGTTGATTTAATCATGTGAAATCTATGCTGATATCTCAACTCTGGCCTGAGAAGGCAGGCAGAGCCTACTGAACTGGCCATCAGTTATATGCAGATTTACCACAGGAGCCTAGTTCTATTAGGTTGTTGGCTGCGGTTGGCTTTATAAGGAATTTGGGAGGTAGTCATTCAGAATGACTAGACCTGCAGCAAACATGCCCAGCTCGGAACCCTGCACTGACTTTTGCCTGGCCGTCGGATGTATTTATGAAGAAAGGAAGATAACTTTAGAACCCTGCATGTTCTGTCAGTCGCCAGTCATAATCCATCACCTTTTCCCTTTCAGCTCCCAGGCTGTTCCTTTTATGATGAAGCTGTGGCATTCAGGCATTTCCTTAAGTCTGTTCCAATAAATGTAGTTCCTGGTTTTTCCTGCTTTGGGTGGCTGAGTGTCTCTTTCCAGGAAGTACTTACATTGTGACCCTTCTCTTTTATTTGTGACCTTCTTTCCAATCCCAGTTGCGTTCTTTTTTCCCTTGGGTTTTTCTTTTCCGTTTGATTTACTTACCTGCTTCTGGAGCCTCCCCAAACTGGATCAGCAGCAACAAGGTTCCTGCAGTAACCCTTTCATTACCAGAGTAATTTTCTTCACAAGCTGTTTTGAACTTCAGCATTTACAGGCCACTCCTGTAAAACTCAAAGGTAAAAGGGCATCTTGCTTTTACATGTCCAGTGAAGTCATGGTGAAGTTCTTAAGCTTTGAATCCATTTTCTTTCTCCTTTGAAAAGACAAAGAAAGGCAAGGGTTGAGGCAGGCCTCCCTTCCACTTAGGCAAAGCCCAAATCTAATGAAACAGTATTGTCAAGATTCTGCAGTTTATCTGAGGAGAATCAAGGCAACCGATCCAAATTAATGTTCTATGCATTTTGACTTCTTTGTTACCTGTTTTTGGCCTCATGTTTTCTTGACTCAGCCAGTAGTAGAACTCCGAGAGTGAAAGCTGAGAGAATGTCTTGCTAGCATGGGCAGCTTCCTATTGCAACCATTAGCCAGTGCAGTTTCTTACTTAGTAGGCTATATGCCGAGACTCATGAACCCACTGCTCTGTGATGTGACAGGTTTAATGTTTATTCCAGAGTGGCCTAAGGAACCTGAACAAAAGTGGTTATAAGGAGCTATGAACAGAATTCCCAGAAACATCTAAACCATGCTATGACATCAGTATATGTGACAGTTACTGTTAATCATTGATTTGACAAAATTAGAGTCACATGGGAACATGTCTGTGGAGGGCGTTATCTTGATTATTGGGATGCCATTCCTTGAGTAAGTTATCCTGGACTGCATAAGAGCGAGGAAAGCCAGACACTGAGCACTAACATGCATCCCTCTCTGCTTCTTGACCAGAGACACAAAGTGACAAGCTGTTCCAAGTTCCTGCTGCCTTAACTTCCCCCATAATGGACTGTACATTAAACAGCAAGCTGAAATAAATCCATTCTCCCATAAATTCTGCCTGGGTTTTATCACAGCCACAGGAAGATAAGCTAAGACACAACGAAAGGGAAGATATGTTATTGTGGATTTTACTGATGTCTCCCAAGATGGCATTGTTTACATATTACTTATTTTATGGATGTTTTATATGCATGTGTGTCTGTGCAACACGTGTTTGTAGTGCCCATGGAGACCAGAAGAGGGCATCAGATCCCCTGGGACTGTTGTTATAGCCAGGGCTGCCACCTGGGTGCTGGGAAATGAACCCACGGTGGGGGTGAGTGGGTGGGTGTTGTTCTCTGGAGAACAAAAAGTGCTTGTAACAGCTGAGCCATCTCTCCAGCTCTGATGGCATTGCCTAAATGTAGAGGTTGTGTTTACACTTGTAGCAAGGGAGACCCAGAGGTTAGAATTGTGTGTGTGTGTGCGTGTGTGTGTGTGTGCGTGTGTGTGTGTGTGTGTGTGTGTGTGTGTGTGTGTCTTAAGCAGTGGACACAAACATCAAGAATACTTATTTTGTCTTGTACAGGCATAAGGTGGAGCCTCTTGGCAAATTCGGAATGAGCTGGCATGGTGGCAGCACCTTACAAATTACGAGGTGTTCATCTTCTGTTACCTAGGCATTGCCTAATGAAAGGCCACACTAGTTTCTAGTGGCAACTGGTTCTCTAGGGACTAAACCAAAAGCAAGGAACAGCAGAGCAAATTGCAGGTTAATGGCGAGGCAAGGTAATATAGATGAACGTAGTAATAGGTCCCTGCAAAGTCCAGCCAAAGTCCTGGGATGAGTAATGCTCACAGCAAGCCTGGGGCCTTATGCTATGGGAACAGTTCCTGCTCTAAAAGCTTTGACATTTAAAATAAGGTAGGAATGTGTCACAGTACTAGAGCAGAACAAAGGGGACTCCTGGAGGTCGGGAAGAGGGTGTGTGCACAGTAACGTGTTTTGAACTTTGAACCAAAAGGAACGACAAACCCATTAACAGCATTTATTTTCATACGGTAGTTAATTATTTGCACCAAACCAAGTAGTCAGAATAGTCTTTGGGAGCAACTCCGAACCATCCACTCATCCAGCTTCCAACCTTTTACCGTATGTAGTCCCTGACGCCCTGGAGGCGATAGCCTTAGTCCAGTCAAGGAGGGAGTTAAAATTTGCTGTGGCGTTTGCACGCGGCAGGGACCAGTCTTTCACACTGTCCCACGTGGTCCCAGCAGGTGAGTGTGGGTGTGGGCGCGTGCGGCTCGTGGTGTCGGCGGGGTGAGCGCGAACACGTGTCAGAATGGCTGGGGTCACAGTGCTTGCCCGGGTGTAGCCTCACCCTGCCTCGGCATAGTCTCCCGGGCCGGCACCCGAGAGAAGCCGGCGTCTGGGGCCCACTCACCGGAGGCGGTGCGAGCAGATCCCGCCGTGAGCGATTGTGAGTGAGCGTGGGCGCGCGGGGGCCGGGCGATGGCAAGCTCGCGCGCAGGCGCAGAGTGCGCGAGCCGGCGGTCGCCGCAGAGCGCGGGGGGCGGAGCCGGAGCGCGGGGACCAGGCCATGGCGGCCGCCGGGCGCTGGTGCTGGCGCTCGGCCCGGGAGCGCCTTTGTCGCCGAGGACGATGGTGACCTCGCGGCTCGGGCCGCTGCCGCTGCCGCCGCCTCCGCCTCCCGAGACGCCGCAGCCGAGGCCGGACGCGGGAGAGCCGCCGCTGTGAGCCGCGCATACCGGGCCCCCCGCCGTCGCAGCCGAAGATCTCACCGGAGGGGCGGGCGACGGAACCGGGCAGCAGCGGACACCGCCATCCCCAGTGCCGCCCCGCAGGCAGGGAGGCTGCGGCTCCAGGTGACTGCGGTCAGCTCAGAGCATCCCGCAGGCCTGCTGCCCACTGCGCTTCCCCTCCCCCATCCTCGCTCCTCCCCGCCGCGCCCCCCTCCTCCTCCGGATCTTGGCCGGGGCCTGGTCCCCCTCCGCACCGCGCCCTCCCGCCCACCCCCCGAGCAGCGATCGGTCTCCTGTTACCTCCTCGCCGAGCCCCGTACTAGCTCCCGGGGCCTCGGCTGCCTCCTCCCTATCATCCCTTCTCTCCCGCGCCTGGAGAGGGAGAGAACCCTCACATTCCTGAGATGCCCTCACTCGGGCTCATCCCTCTCTTTTTTCCAGTACCCCGGTTGCCAGGCCTTTCCCGGTCTCCCTCGCAGAGGTGCCCAGTCCGGGCTCCTTTGCTCAGGTTTGCGTTTCCAACTTCCCCTCTTTTGCTGTTTTGGTCCACTTTGCTTCCAAGCTTCTCTCCCTCTTTGCTGGCGTCTCCCCTCCTCGCAGCCCCTAAACTCAGCCTAACCATGTGCAGGCGGTGCGTGGTTGCGGGGTTCAGAAATACCTGCTAAGCCCATTGAGGAGGGGGACCCCTGGCTCAGCGTGCAGTGTGTCAGACTCTTCACAGTCACGAGCTGCTCATCTCTCCCTTTACTGTGTCCTGGTTCCTTTTCCCGCTTGCCATCCCTCGGTTCCCCCTCTCCAGCTCTGCTTTCCCACCCTAGGACTCATGCTCTCTGTGGAATGGGCTCCCCATTCTATCTGGGGGTTAGGAACTTGGCTTGACTCTTCTAAGCACGCCTTTCGGTGTGTGGCGCGGCAGAGCCAGCACCCTTGGCGAGACAGGGGAGCACCCGGGCCTCTCCCTGGCAGAGTTTCTGCTCCACGTAATCCCCTAGCCTTGGGGCTGCTGCGTCCCCGCCGCGCTGCTGCTGCTGCTTCTGCTGTGCTGTGCTGTGCTGTGCTGTGCTGCCTGCTTGCCGCGAGCTGGCTTGGGGTTACTACAGTTCAAATGTATCTGAGAGAAGCAGGCGTGGGGAAGCGGGGGGGTGCGGAGGGGGGCGGGGAGAGAGCGAGCTGGGGCGGGGGAAGGGGCCTTTGCAGTGGGAAGGCATCAAAGATTAATGGATGGCTTTGCATCGCTGTCTGCAGTAAACAGGAAACTAGTCTGAAAGGAAAGGAGGGGACTGTGTGTGTCTGTATTTTCTAAAATACCGAGTGTGCAGTTCTGCGAATCTTGAACCAGGCCCAAAAGGATGAGCTGTCGGTGCTGCAGTCGTGACCCAGGCTGAGCGTCCAATGGCAGAGGTAGCATTGTTTTCCTTTCCTCTGTCCACCCCTTAACGTTGGACGACTGCTTTTGCACTTGAGTGTGGACTCGCATCGAGGTGGTTTCGGAGACGATGTGGAGTCACAGGATTGCTAGTAGTTTCTGTGGAAACCAAGTACATACAAAGTTAGCCAGCAGCACAGTGGGAGTGGGGAGGACTAGCTATATTTAAAACGTGTGCCAACGCTTATGTAAGGAAGTTCTTTCTCTTTCCTGCTTTCCCCTTTCTGGGCGGCGTTACTTCGGATTTTAGGGTCCGGCTTCGCCCTCTCGCTTTTTTTTTTTTTTTTTTGAAGGTCTTAGCATCCCCGACAGATGGACAGCTTTCCGCCCCCCCCATCTGCTTACCATCAGTTTTAGTTGATTTAGAGTTTTTCTGTAATTGCTGAGGGCAAAGAAAGAAGGTTAACGGTGATGGTTTTGTTTACGCTCTTTCAGATGAGGAAAGAGGTGTAACTTTCGGCCCCAAATTACCTATATTATCAATTTAAATCATCAGTAATTTTACATTGTGTTATGTATTATTCTTATTTTTGCGTTGTCTTTTTAAAAGGGGAGTTAAGGAGTTGTGGGATTCCTTTATTCTATTTTTTTTATAATACCACATTTTCTTTTTTTTTTTAATTTAAGATAGTTTTTCAGCAGAGCTCAACCATTACATATTTCTTATTATTAAGGACGCTTTATTTGATTTCTTCCTATTCAAAACTAAATATGGCAGTTTTAGGAAAATGAAAAATGCCCTGTGTTTCCTAACCCACAAATCCAGTGATAAACTATGCACATTATACAAGACGTTGCTGTTTCCAAGCGTTGGAAAAGCATTTCTTGAAACTGCTAGGGTTTGGTTTTTGGTGAGCATTTATTGAACCGTCCTTTCTGTTTCTGGGAAGAAAAGTTTTTGGTTTCTGGGAAGAAACATTTCAATTTTTTAGTTGCTGTGCTGTATAAAGTAGGTTTGAGTCATCTTTAGTTTGCGATGCTTGCAGAAACATTATGATGGAGAATTCATTTCCAGTTCTTTCCATAACTCAAGAAAGTTTTAGGATCTTGCAGGAAAGGTAAGAAGATAGTGCAGAAAGTTTATATTTTTGTATTTGGGTGTGGCAAACTGTTTGGTTTTGGTGTTCCTGAGTTTTTTGTTTTTGGTTTCTCTGTATCTCTGGCTGTCCTGAAACTCACTCTGTAGATTAGGCTGGCCTTGAATTCAAGGAGATCTGCCTGCCTTTTCCTCCAAGTGTTGGGATTAAAGACTTGTGCTACCACACCCAGCTGGTGTTTCTGTTTTAAGAGAATGAGCTTCAATTTTGTAAATGCTCATTAACCTTGTTTGACACTAGACCCAGGAAAATATATTAGGTTTGAACCAATCATTAAGGATATATAATTTCTATTATTTATTTAGTGTCTCTGTGTGGGCAGGTGTGCATATCTCTGTGCTGGTGCTATAGAGGTCAGAGGACAACTTGAGAGTCAGTTCTCACCTTCAGCCCTGTGGGTCCCAGAGATTGAACTCAGGTCCTTAGGCTTGTTTGAAAACATCTGAAGCTCTGAACCATCTTGCTGGCCCAGGTTGCTGTATTTTTGCCTTGTGTCCTCCTTATAATGTAGCAGTTTGGAAGGTGTAAATTATCTTAAGCTTCTACAAACATGGCAAATATCTCTGAATTTTATCTGGATGTTGGTTTAGTGAGTGCAGTGTTTCTCAACCTGTGGGGTGCGGCCCCTTGGGCAGCCTTCTATTTCCCAAAAATGTTTACATTATGATTCATAACAGCAAAATTAGTTATGAAGCAGTGATGAAAATAGGGGTCACCACAACATGAGGACTGTATTAAAGGGTCGTAGCATCAGGAAGGTTGAGAACCACTGGTTTAGTGTGTGGGGCTAGACTGCAGAGCATTGATTTTTATTTACGATGGTTCCCACCTGTTCCTATGTATGCCTACTTCAGAAAAGTTCAGAATGATACAGTTCTGAGAGATGGGGTTGGTCTTTCATGTTTTACATGTTTCTCCCATGTACTTCAATGTGGCATCTTACTAATGACTTACAACAGGTCCAGAAATGAAGGAAACATTGAATAAGTAATAGGTTTCTTCTTATGCGGGCTGACTTTATCTACTCCAGTTTCTTTAGACATTTGGCTCTTGAGTTAATCATGCTGATCTTTGTTTCTTGGATATTCTTCTAAACTGATAGCTGTAGGGACCCAAGGTTTGTTTTTATTAGTTTGTTTGTTACATTTGTGAGATAGGAGCTATAGGTGGGAATTTTTAGGAAACATGGACCTTTCGGCTAATGGATTTCTTTTGTTTATAGATTATCCCTGAAGGATTAGGCAGCACTTTTTTTTCTATCCATATTCAGATCTAGATTTCCACAATAGGAGTATGTGCTTCAATTTTCTCCTTTAGAGTTATGGTAAATGGGAAATACGATCACTTTGTAAGTAACATTATATCCAGAGGAAGGCACCAGATTAGATGAGTACTGACCATCAATACCAACTCAGTAATGCCCTCTTCTTTGTTGCACAGACGACAGTAGTGGTTTACACCGGATTCTAGAATAGACAGGAATGGTCACTTTTCCAGGATAATAATGTCATTATATAGTGCTTCTTTCGTTCCCCTCTAGGTTATAGGACGTCCCTTAGATACCCAAACCCGCGTGAGCTCAGATCCCTTTCATAAATGGCATACAGCTTATGAACAGCTTCTTGTATGCTTTTATTAAGTTGTATTCCTCTTCACTGGGGAGTGGTCTTGGGGTGGGTCCTAGGACAGCTTGTGGGGGTTGGTGCTTTCCTTTGATCATGTAGCTTCCGGGGCTCGAACTCAGGTTGTCAGGCTTGGCAGCAAGCACTCTCTGCTTGCTGAAACTACTCAACTGCACCCATGCCATGTTCAGACCATCTCCAGATGACTTACAATACCTAATACAGTCTGTGAACTAGGTAGGTAGTGTTTATACCATATTCCTTAGGGAACAGTGTTGAGAAAAGGTCTGCCCATATGCAGAACAAACATTGCAGTCTTTTCAAGCTGAGATTATTGCCTGCACAGATACAGAACCTGTGGATATGCAGAGTTGACTGTAGGAGCAAGAGCTTCCCTTAAGTCAGTGGTTCTCAACACGTGGGTCGTGACCCCCTTGGATATGATGTCCTGCATATCAGATATTTGTATTACAATTCTTAACAGTATTCATAGCAAAATTATAGTTATGAAGTAGCAACAAAATAATTTTGTCGTTATGGGCTCACCACAACACGAGGAACTGTATTAAAGGGTCACAGCATTAGAGAGATTGAGAACTACAATGTGGTTTGCAATTATGGCTGGTTATAGAGGTTTTATTTTTCCTGGTAGTTTTCTTCTTGGGACAGAGATCTGTTGTTTGAGTCCCACGGTATAGTTTTGTGTATGGGAACGTGATTAAAAGCTCTCACTCATTTCAAGTCATCAGCATTACAGTTTATTTATTAAGCAAATGGTAACATCGGCAGCATGTGTGTATGTGTGACAACATTGCCATTATGGGAATGATTGGCATAGGCTCATTAGAAACCTCTGACT